TGAGTGCCTGTCTACCCAAACATTACTGCAACCATGGAAAGAATGCTAGGTAGTGCAGAGAAGATGAGATGGATTGGTTAAGAGCATATGTCAGGACAGAAAGAGAGGTCTTCCAGGCTCAGGACTTGGTGAAGTCCTCTGAGAGCTACACAAAAGCTTGTGGAAGACATGCCTGAACCATAATGATCAGATAAAATCTCAGTTCACTAAAACTTCTTCTGTTTCTTATATAGAGGTCATTACAGGGGAACCACACTCAAATTCATTTGAGTTATTCTCTCCAAATGTGAGTCACTACAAACTCCAATACACTGACTATGCAGACAGTTGAAATTTCTGAGCTGTTTATGCATATGAGAATAAATCACATTTATAGATGCAGCTTGGATCCAGTTGGTTTTGTAACTATTCAAATTATGGTTATATTGGTATAATTCAAAATATTGACTGAAACAAAGTAGAAAAAGAATGCAGTAGACTCCAATGATAATCAGACGTAATTGATAAATGAACTGTACAAACTCTTAGAATAAGTGGAGGTGAACTTGTCCTTTGTTCTGTGAAGGGATTTGGAAGGTGACTGTTGAAATTGGCTGTGGGCAGCTCAGTCACAGAAAGTCAGTAATGGGAAGATTACTGGATATTACTGATAAATAAAATTGTATGTTTTTTCCATATTTAAAAATGTATTTTTGGGAAAAATAATTTCCTTAGAAGTTCTATTTTTTTTCTTTCCATCTAGTTATAAGCTGCCGAACTCTTTATATGAAGAAAGAACTAAGAAATTTGTGTAATTTAACTCTGTACAATACTTTAAAGCTTTGAAATGAGTAAAACATTCTGTACTGTAGCTATTTTAATCTCATTTCTGTACTAGATATCTCAGCTGTGCAAGCTACAATATTGATTCATTGGGGTGGAATGAAATGTGACTAGCAACAGGGATAGAGAAAATTCTGTTGATCTGATTTCCTTTCCCTGCCACTGTTCCTGACCATGAATACTTAAGCCTCTAACAGATCAGCCAAAGAGCGAAAAAAAAAAAGGCTCTGGGATCAGAGCAGTAGCTTCAAAACTGTTTCAAATTTAAGCTCATGGTTTCCCTATTGGGGTGGTACAACTCCCTTTCCTCCTCTATGCCACTCTAGAATCTCGCAGAATCACAAAACAACCCAAGTTGGAAGGAACCCACAAACTTCATCAAATCCAACTCCTGGCCCTGCATAGGGCATCCCCAAGAGTCACACATGTGCCCTAGACCATTGTCTAAATGCTTCTTGAACTCTGCCAGGCTGGTGCTGTGACTACTTCCCTGGGGAGCTTGTTCCAGTGCCCAGCCACCCTTGGGGTGAGGAATCTCTTCCAAACCTAAAATCCAACCTAAACCTGCCCTGACACAGCCCCATGCCATTTCCTTGGGTGCTGTCACTGATCACCAGAGAGAAGAGATCAGTACCTGCTCCTCTGCCTTCTGCTTGTGAGGAAGCTGTAAACCATTATGAGGTCCCCTCTCAGGCTTCTCCAGGCTCAGACCAAGTGACATCAGCTGCTCCTCATACAGCTTCACCTCCAGACTGTCCACCACCTTTGCTCCAGTTGCTTTATATCCTTCCTATATTGTGGCACCCAAAACAGCCCCCAGCACTCCAGGTGAGGCCACCCCAGGGCAGAGCAGAGCAGAGCAGAGCAGAGCAGAGCAGAGCAGAGCAGAACAATCCCCTCCCTTGCCTGGCTGGCCATGCTGTATCTGATGTCCCCCAGGATACGCTTGGCCCTCCCAGATGCCAGGGCACAATGACTCACGTTCAACTTGCCATTGACCCAGACCACTAAATCCCTTTCCATGGCACTGCCTTCCAGCCTCTTGCTCCCCAGTCTGTATGTACATACAAAGGTTTTCCCATCCCAGATGCAGAATCCAAAAGCAGTGTTTCTTAAACTTCATACACTTGGTGATTGCCCAGCCCTCTTAGTTTGTCTGTGTCTCTCTGCAGGACTTCTCTGACTATGAGGGACTCTGTGGGAGTTTCTCCCATTTTAGTGGGATAAAGTGATATCATTGTGTATAGTCATTAGAATATAGAAGCATAAAATATATAAATTATAAACATCTCTGTAAATGGTGCTTTCTTTCATATTTAAAATACATAAACATGACTTCCTTTCTTATTCGTACAAGACATAGTAAGCAGCACACTGAAATCTCCATCCTATTTTCCACATTAAACTATTATTTTTTTCAACAGACTCCTTTATTGCATCCAAAGAAATTCAATAAAACATTGTAATAATAGTTTGAGTGCAATCACTTTAGCTTTAAAAGTGCGATGGGAACAATTATGCACACCTGTCTTAGCAGCAAGGATGAAGAAATAAATGTAGGAAACAGCACCTCCAGAGAGCTTCATCAAAGACTTGGCAGCAGAAAACAGGGCTCACAGTACCTTTTATCCCAGCCTTGACAGATGACGTCAGATTCCAGTCCCAGCAGTGACATTTCAGACCTTGAAAACATGCGTTGGAACTACTGTGATTCAAGTGTTCATCTCTGAAATGTTTCTTTTCCTAGAACATTTCTGCTCATCCTGTTACGTTGCAGATTATTTACTGCATGCCTTCGCTGAGTGGATGACGATGTTTACTCTGCATCAAGCCTTTCAATATCCTCATTCTAAGAGCAATACTATCTTACATGTTAAGGGCTAAGCGGGAGCATTCAGATGAAATAAAGTATCTTTTTTGTTTGAAAGATGCTGCCAGTTCTGCACAAACACAGAAGAAACTGTCATAACACAATCTATGTGCCAGAGTAAAGCTATAAAACACTTACTAAAATACTTTAAAAAGCAGGAAAGACATAGTTCATAAGACAGCTGAAGTATTTTACTTACATAAATGCAATATATAGAGATCTGAGAATCTCTTTACATTTATAAAAGATGTGTGCTTAGCAAACAAAATTAATTTTCATTCAACTATTTTCATCCTACATAATGGCATTAATTATTTTACCATTTATTAGGAAAGGTTTTGGCTAATACAAGGTCTTTGTCTCCTTTGCAGAAATTATTCCCTTCCAGTCACACTGTTCAATGTTTTCACATGAACCCACACATCTTGCATTACAGTCTATTTTAGATACATCTGACAAAATAAATGAATAAATTAAAAAAAAACCACAAAAAAAACCCAGACTAATAATAAACTGTCCTTGCTTAGTTTTAAATGAAACCTGGTTTTGCAGATTGGATTTTAGCAGGATTCTGCCTCTATTCATTGTTTAATTGGATATATATTTAATTTCTGTCACTTCCTTAGGGATTAAAATATATTTGTCAATGAGATCCAATAGAAACCGTTTTTGTAGTTGCTATTGTTTTATAGTTGTTCAATATTTAATCTCCAAGCAATTGACAACTAATTGTTGTTGACATTTAATTGCATGATTTTCTAAAGATCTCTTTTGTTAAAGAGCTTGCAGTACAGGTCAGTAATGTTCAGAACACGCTTCCCAGGTACTCATCTTAGGATCCCAATGAAGGTAGAGACGATTCCTACCCTAGGTGTTTTGAGTAATTGTACAGTCAGAGTTTACTGCTGCTGTTTACACATACAGCCTATACAGGCTCCTTGCTTATGACAGTGCAAAACTATCAAATGCCCATAATGTACCTGTTCTGTTTGGCCTATACATAATTGTAGACAAGTGAATAAAGTACTGATGAATTAAACTATATACAAATTCGGGCATGTATGACTTTCCTACTAAATAAAATTCTGCTGGTTGCATCTGCTGCGTCATACTGGAGAGTGGAACTATCAGGAAATTAATCTTCTTCTTTCAGATGCTCCCTTCAGCCCGTGTGGAGCACTAGTGAAGCACTCTTGTGTCAGTGGGTTCAGTCTAGCCTGGATGTTCTGGACAAGAATAAAATGTTTTGGGTGCCATTTGAGCTGTGGGGCACAGAGTTCTCGCAGAGCTGGAGGGGAAGGTTATTACATGGAAAACATATCATTCTCTGCTCTCATCAGATGCTGAAGTACCAGACCTCTCTGGCACTTCCAGCATTATCACATGCAGCTTTTTCAAGTATTTATCTATTTTTCTCTATCCTCCTCAGGCCTATACTCCATTGCCTGGTAAGGAAGACCATTTGGAATCCTGTCCAAGACAGTGTGACGTGGTCAGGGACACATAGCATTGGCCCAGGAGCAGCTGGAGGCTGGGTTAAAGGGACTTGTCACCCTAACAGTGACCTCCGACACTGAGTCTTTGGCACATCATTGCGTTAAAGAGAAAACACAGTGCTTTTCCTGCTATGTTACCCTCGTGAGGAAAAGCTTTATCTGTGTGACACCAATCACACAGAGGGTGGTCAGGATGAGCTGGAGTCTGTTCTCTCCTACGGGCCAGGGACACCACACATAACCAGATCCCGGGATGCCGAGAGTGCTTCCCCCACACCACCGAGCTGCGTCTGACAGACACCACAGAAGTCCTCAACCTCCAAAACCCTAAGTATATATGATGAACCCAGAACATAAATAAACATTTCTGTTTTGGAGAGCTTGGTATTATTATACAGTCATTATCATTATGGGGTCACTACGCCAGAGTACTACAAATTAGTATCAGTGTAGTAATTTGATATTATACAGCCTTTTCTTTTTATTATTTTTAATTTTAATTACATGATTCTGCGTGCTGTCAGCACATTTATAAAACAGAAAAACTAATCTCTCCCAGCAGGTCCTCAGTAACAGCAGCCGTGAGCTTTAGATTTGTGTTCCAAGCAGGCAGCACAGACACCGAGCCCGGGTGCGAGGTTTATACCACCTGAAGCTGCCGGGGCGCTGTGCGCGCCCCTCACCCTCCACGGCCGGGCCCTCCCCCGCCACGGCGCCTCCCGCCGCCTTTCGGCGCACGCGCCCGGGGGCGGCTCGGGGCGACCGGAAGTGGCGCGTGCAGGGGGCGGGGCCGGGGGTCGCGTGGCGCGGGAATGGAGGCGCAAGAGGAGGTGGTGAGGCTACTACAGAACCTGGCCGTGGAGCCGGGGGGCCAGCGGGCGGCCGAGCGGGAGAACGTGCCGGACGGACAGCGGGCGGCCGAGCACGAGAAGCTCGTCATGCCGGACAGGCAGCTGGTGGCCGAGGAGGAGGAGGTGCTGGACGGGAGGCTGGTGGCTGAACAGGAGGATGAGCACGAGAAGCTCGTCATGCCGGACGGGCAGCTGGAGGCCGAGCAGGAGAAGGTGCTGGACGGGCAGCTGGAGGCCGAGCAGGAGAAGGTGCTGGACGGGCAGCTGGAGGCCGAGCAGGAGAAGGTGCTGGACGGGCAGCTGGTGGCCGAGCAGGAGGCGGAGCAGGAGAAGGTGCTGGACGGGCAGCTGGTGGCCGAGCAGGAGGCGGAGCAGGAGAAGGTGCTGGACGGGCAGCTGGTGGCCGAGCAGGAGAAGGTGCCGGGCCCTACGGAGAGCGGTGGGGAAGCCCAGGTTCCTCTGTCCCCAGCCGTGGGACCGCGCCGCTCGCCGCCGCCCGCTTGGCCCGGCCCGATCGCTGCCGCCCTGCCCTCGTCGGACTCGGACAGGTGGGTTTAGCCCCGGCGCTCCCCCCGGGTCGCCCCTTGGTCACCGGGGTCTCGGGCCGCTGGCGCTGTGGCTGAGCGGCCGAGAGCCCGGTGTGCCTGGCCGCCGCCTCCTCCCGCACCGGTGTTTCACCCTCTGGAGCTTGCTCCTTCCCGTCAAAGGTGTAATTTTCAGTTACATTTTGCCAGGAGTCTGTTAAATTAGGTCTCCATAGCGGTGCCTGTAGGGATGTAGGATTTAACGAAAGCATGAGTTTGGTGGTTGCGGCCTGGAGAGCGTGTTGGGCCACCCCACCGGTTTGACTGGTCCTCACACAATGCACTTGCAGCTCTTGGGGCAGGACACCCGCGTTATTACTGCTGAAAAACCTGAGTGTAGGATATTGGTATCTCAGTGAAAAAACCTCATTCTCAACCTTTTTTTTTTTTTTTAGTAAAAGGTTCCGTCTTTTACTTGCGGCATCTGTGCTTTGATGCTCAGTATAGTTGGTGACAGGTAACTGGTTAAATGTGGGCTCTGTTGCGGTATTAGAAGTCTGCACACTTTGGTTGTTGCAGTAAGTCTTGTGTTTTCTTCTCTGGCTGGTGCAGCAAGATGGCCATGTGCTCCTCCTGACTAGAGGAGACCAAAATAAAACTTAAGAATCTCCTCTTAAAGATACAAAGCTTCGTTAATGGATAACTGATTAAAGTTTGACTTCAGAAGTACTTTCCTTGGTTCAGAGTTTTCCATGATTATCATGAAGTCATGGAGAGTGAAATTCCTGACTTCCAGGGGCTTCCCCTGTGTCTAGTGTTTTTTACTTCAAAAATCTGTTGTGTTGATGAATCCTAAAGATGAAATTTTAATAACTTCAACTAACTTGTCTGTCTTGTATGTATCTCAGTCTTCGTTTTGTTTTGTTTAACTCCCTCCACTGGTTGGCCTTTTAGTCTTGATTTTTTTTTTTTTTCTTTCTGCTATGTTGATGTTGTTCCAAGAAGTCCATGTTTGACTTTATCAAACAGTTCATTTGGAGAGGTGCTCTTAATTCTTGTCCTTACAATGAACATTTGTTGGAATAATCAAAGGAGCAATAGAAAGCCATCCATTTACTTAGGAAGGAGATTGTGTGATATTACAAGAATCTAGAAAGGAGTGTTTGGGTTTTTGTTTTTTTTTTGTTTTTTTCTTCAGGAAAGAAAGGCTATTTTGCATAAGTTTGCTTATCTCAGTGTATTTCTTGTGTAAGGTTTGTATTGTGGTTTTTCAGTTACTAGGATCAGTTGCTCCACATTTTTTTCTTCCACCAGCCCTTGAAGGATTTGACCTTAGCTAAAGTGAACATGTTAATATGAGTAGGGACTGGTTCCTTACTTCACTTCACTTGAACATGACGGTAAATATCTCTTACAAGTGTTAGTGAGAAATATTGAGTTACTCTGTGAGAATATTTACTGGGGGATTTGGACAGGAAATAAATTATGGAACTAATCACTTTTATTTACAAAAATTAGAATTTTTTATCCTTCATTGTGTAAGATGCATTGCTTGGAATAAGTATTTTCTTAACTTTCACTCAGTGTTGGGATTTTACAGGAACAGTGACTGAGAAGGCAGTATTGTAACTCCCATGTTTTGTTTTTTTATTCAGTGATACAGATTCAGATAGTTCATCAACTACACTCTCCTCGTCATCTTCAGCAGTATCAGAAGAAGATGATCATCTAAATGAGAAGGATAATAGAACACCCTGTATTAGGACAAAGGATGAGTTGCCTATTGATGTAAGTACAATGTGGTATTTTTAAAACCCTTTCCTACTAACCCAGCTAAAAATTTATATTTTAACTCAGTCCTCCTGTGTCAAGATGGGGCTAGAATCAGAACAGTAAAAGAGAAGCTCCAAGGCTGAGCTAGACACAGTTTAGTAGGTAAAGCAAAAGCCACCTGCAGAAGCAAAGCAAACCCAGAAATTAATTTATCACTTTCCATGGGCAGGCAGGTGTTCTGCCATTCCCAGGAAAGCTGGGCTCCATCATGTGTAACCATTGCTTGGGCATGCAAACACCATCATTCCAAATGTCCCTCGTTCTCCTTTTTCACCCAGCTTTGTATGCTGAGCATGATGTTACCTGGTATGGAATGTTCCTTTGGTCCGTGCAGGTCACCTGTTCTGGGTGTGCCCCTCCCAACTCCTTTTGCATCTCCTCACTGATGGGGTGGCATGAGAGGCAGAAAAGGCCTTGGCTCTGTGTAAGCCCCACTCAGCAATAATAAAAACATCTCTGTTATCAGTAGTGTTTCCAGCACAGATCCAAAATGCAACCTCATAACAGCCACTCTGAAGAAAATTGACTTTTCTGCAGTGAAACCCACCCCAGTTAATAAAATAGAAGGTTATGTTTTTCAGGTATACGTATTAAAGAGTGTTAGTGAAAATGTTTTAGAAACCTCTTGCTTTGAAGCAAGGATTGACACATACTGTGTCTAGTGTGACAGAAGGTGCCATTTTAAGATACAGGCTCAGAATTTTACCTTCCTGCTGGTCTTTGGCCTTTGAATTGCTCTTACAAAAGTGACTTAGTTAAGTCTTAGCAGTGAACTTGATTTAATATTGGAAAAATCACTGGCCGGTAGAAAGATGTGGTGTTTTTACCTGAATTCGGGTTTGCATTTAATGGTATAACATTTGGGAAAGTCTTGACCTTTTTGATCTTTGTGTTGGTCTCTAAGCCTTTGCCAAACACTTTTGTTAGACTGAAGATTATCAGGTGATGTGTTGATAAACCAGGATAAGATTCTTCTGTTTGTGTGGGATTTTATTTCTAGTTGTGGCCTTTAAAAGTACAGTTCAGTGCTGAGATTTGAACTCTCAGAATTCACAGGGTGTTGAATTTGAAGATGATGCTTATTCTAGTTGCCTTGTGTTTAATAAAGTCTTTACTGAATTCCCAGCAGCATAGTATATACATGGAAATCTCAGTTTATGAGTAAATTTGAGGTAGATGATAAACTTGATAATCAGTCTTTGATAGTAGATTCTGAGCCTTATATTTGAGGAAAAAAGCCTAATTTGAATATTGTATTGTACTCATTTTTATATCTGAAGTTTGGCTTTTTGAGTTTTTTCTGATCTCTAGTTGTCCTCTTGTACCAAATGCAACCTTCAGCTAATAAAAATTTTCTTTGTATAAGTTGTTGCAATGTTTACATCTTCTGTAATGATCCAAGTCATGATATAAATGGACACTCCATTTTGTTAAATCAGATGATACACATCCGGTGTGTTTTATGTTCTATTACCTCTTGCTGTGTATATTTTTCTTCTAGCATGCATGGAATGTTATTGCAAATGGTCTTATTTTTTGATTTCTGATTAATTACTGAGTTGTGATGGAAATATGTAGAATAGTGTCTCTTTAGGAGAGATGTCCTCAAAAGTGGTGGTCTCCCAAGATGAGTTCATTTAAGATGATTCTGAAAGGCAAATGAAACCAGATTTTTAAAAAATCAAAACTTAAAAATGCCAAGGGATTTTTCCAAACTGTCAAATTTCTGCAGTGACAAAGTGGTAAGTGCCTTTGTGTGATATTATATTCTAAACATTGACTTGATGTTTGCAGAAATTGCCTCCTGTTGAAGACTTATCAGTAATTCTTCCAGATGATGTTGAACTGAAGCTCTTTGGGACAGTTTCCAGCATCGTTGAGCAGCTAGGTAGGCAAGATACATTTGCATTGTTTTCAATTACTATAATTTCTGTGTATCTCTGCATGAATTGTGTTCTTAGCAGTTCCTTCAAAGTATCAGTCCTGCAGCATCGTGTTTCTGGGAGTAACAGGGTGCTGAATTGGAATTTGAACTAACAGATGACATTTGTGTTGAATGTGTTCCTTTATTTGTGTTATGCATGTATTTTCTAACTTCTGTGTTTAATTAAACATTAATTAAAACCCTTTTTTACTCCTACTGTGTATTATAGTTTTTATATTGATGCTGGCTGCAGTTATTGTATTTTAAGTATTTTAAGAAAATCTTCCACTTGTAAGTGCTATTTTTGAATAATCCCTGAATATATAAGATCTTTATAATTAAAAGCACAGATGCCGTACAATGCAGTCCTGAGTGCTTGCTTGTTAATATATGAGGACAGGAAAAAGTGTTTCTTCAACAGTGCAAGTTCATTTATTTTTTTATATCTTTATTCCTTCCACTTCTGGCACTGTGAGCAAATGAAAGTTGCCCATGTCAGCAGTCAGAGGATGCTGTGACTAACATGATTTATAGGTGGAGGGTAAGCTTAATGGGATTGAGATATAGAATGGATGTAAGCTTAACTGCAGGCATAGAGATTGAGGGATCTTTTTGGATCTATGTGGGACCTTCAGTATTTGATAAGTGAAATCAAAGTTTTGCTGAAGCTCATGTTACTAAAATATCCACAGTATGGTTGTATTTAAGCTATTTCAAGTGTTCCATTCTGCTTGATATGCATTCCAGGCAATTTGCTTATGAAAATTAGAACTTAAGTTCAATTTTGAAGTTAAAGCATTTATATTGAATGTAGTACAAAATAAAGTAAATATTTTTTTCTATTAATTTTGCTTTTTTAAAAGACTTCAGGTAATACAGGCAATTCCTCTACATTATTTTATTGGGGTGAGATTTAATTTCATTCATTTGCAGGAATCAGGGTTGAGGGTGTGGAAGGTAGTAATCTAGTTCTTTACTGCTTTGCCCTTTCTTGCTTATTGATAATAATGGGGTCTTCAAGAAGGCTGCCTTCAGCTAAAATGGTAGTTATTTTAAAACAAGTTTTAAAAAAAAAGCTAAATCATATCTGCTGTTATTCTTATTTTTGGTTTAAAATATAAAGGTATAAACAAAACTGTTTTAAAGACTGTAGTTTTGAAAACCATCCTTAATTCTAATCCTCACTGGTGAGTATAATCTTTTCAAATACCACTTTACTGGTAGGTGGATTCTTCAGGCTGCGTCCTACTTTATGTAATGTACATGTATAAGGTGTTCAATTAGATTTGTTGCTGAAAGTTAAACACAAGCTAATAATCATAATGAAATAAAACTGCATGAATGGCATAAACCCCCAGGACATCTGTGATTATTTTTTTGCTTTTACTACCTTGCTTTATGACTTCTCCTTCTCCACATTTTAGTTTCTTTTGAAAAGTTTCTTTCAGTTCTTCTGAAAACAGGCCTCAATTTCAGTTGACTTGTGGCTGTATTAGGCACCTAACTGGGGATTGTTTTTTTATTTTTAAGCAAATTGATACCTCTGTACGCCAGTTTACATCTCGTCTGAGGGGAGTTGATTCCTCATTTGGAAGCCACAAATACTATTCTGACACAGCAATCAGTATTCTTTTTCTGTCCCTTTGATGTTCCTCAGAATTTCTGCTGTTCTCTGTAGCAAGCTTCTAACTTCATCCCTCTGCAGTGAGTGAGTGATACTTAAAAGTGGATATTTCATCCTGTGAGGTAAATTTGAGGCCAGAACAGTGTAGGTTCATGCTTGCTGTGCAGTAGCTAAAATTAAAATGTCAGTACTTTCTGTGAAGTTCTTCTCAGTGTATCAGAATTTAACTTTTGCTGTGTTTTGCTTCAAGGTACTTAAAGAGAAGAGAAAAAAATCACTGTGTGGGTTGGGGCCTGGAAAGTAAACAGCTTTGGTGTATATGAGAAACTTTCCCTGGGGCTGTACTTTGTGCCTGCAAGAGCAGAAGCTGGTAATTTAGTCTGCATTGGGGTAGGGGAAGCTCTAAGTCAAATAGGCTGGAGGTGGTAATATTTCTCCTAACTTTCATGGGACTGGTGCATTGTACATTCTCAGAATATATTTTCCTTAGCCTACTGCAGGCTGGGGGCTACATGTGGTGAATCAAGTTGAGAACATTATCTGAGAGTTTTTTATGTGTTGTTTTTTGTAAGGTTGTAAGGTTTTTTTTTTTGTTCGGATGTTTGGGGGTTTTTGTATTTTTTTTTTTTTTGCTAAGGTATATTTCTCATGAGGTTTAAACAAATTGTGTACTTTCACTGTATATTTTATCTTAAAGGTAGGCAGAAAAGAAATTGATTTCAAAAATTCTCTTGAAATTCAGTGAACTCTTAAGCCTGTAGAATTGTCATACCTTTGTTTGGCATGTTAAGGTTTTTGCAGATTGCAGTAGTAGCAGTAATGTTTAGTTTGGTGACATGTTGATTGCTGAAAGTCCTTTTATGTAAGTTTAGCAGTGATGATCTTGAGCTTTTGTTGGAGTATGAATGACACTATGTACTTGAATGACTTTATTTGCTGATGGAAGGCATTGAGAATGCTTAATTGAGCATTCTGTTGTTTTACAGGTAGAGAAGTTTAATCATCATTAGGCCCAAATGTGTCGCTTATTAGGAACGGCAAAAAGAGCAACACAGACTCTCTTAGGAGTCGATCGGGAGAATTTCTCTCGGTTTATTACCTCAGGTCTTTTTTATAGACTGATACGTGAAAAGTACAGAAAAGAAACTCTTATTGGTTAGTAAACTAACACATCACCATCATTGGTCAGTGGGGTACAACACCCCTTGACCTTCTCTTGCAAGAAAACAAGGAACAGACAAACAGCACCTGCAAGGCTGTTTTCTGTCTCTGAGGATTGTTTTAATTCCTCCCCATGATTTCCCAGGCCACTGTCTCAGGCAAGACTGAGAAAGCTATGTGGCCTGCAATTTCCACAGGCACCGTGCTCTCTGTTTCACAGTTGGCATCCATACAAATGTGAGATTTCTATGGCATTAAGTTGCAAAATGTATAAGAGATTGTGTATATGCATATATAAATGCCATCAGTTGCTACTGTGACTGAACTGCCAGGCAGCTTTTGTGTTCTGGTGTGATTCTTAGGCCTCTCTCTCATTACCCCAGAGAACAATAACTTTGTAAGCAATGTAAATATTAGCATTCATATATTATTGGAGAGGGGGTGTGTGATTCTAAGTACTTTTATATAGGTGCAAGAATACTTGGTTGCAGCTCTGCAAACTTAAGTAGACAAGTACTGGTGTGCTTTAAGTTTTACTGCAATTAAGTACATGCTGTTGAAACAAAATTCTAATTTATTCTTTTCTTTCCATTTTAGTAATAATTGAATCACTGAGGGGCCTACCTCCAGTAAATGAGGAAAGCATAATTTTTAAAGAAGATCGGCAAGTAGCAGGAAAGGTGTGTGTAAAATAAAAACTTGTTATTCTGGTATAAAATTGGAAGTATTCTTTAGCACTCCTGAAAGTAGAGTTGAAGTTGACTAAATGAAAGATAATGTTTCCTTGATAGATAGTTTTTCTTTGCCTTTGACTCTTGCTATATTCATCTGGTTTTTAATTGCAAGTGTTCCTATTAATTGCATCCTTACAGAATTACAATATCTGGTGTGTTTCTAGTGTTTGATGAGAGTGCTTGTGGAGAGGAAGAGATTGCTTTCAGATGTATGGTGTTTTGGAGCAATAGGCTGTGTACTCTTTTACTGCTAGATAGAGGAAGTGGTTAGAGTGAAATATTATGAAAAATGGGGTATGTTTTCTTCTGTGCTGTTCTGATTTAAGGCCAGTGAGGAATGTTTGCGCTGAGAGGGTTGTTGCATTGAATTTTTTGTAGAAGGGAAGCCATCACCCGCAATGGTAACTACTGAAATATGTTTGAATGCTAGATGTTTTACAGAATAAACGTAGCCTGAATTGTGTATGTTCTGTAAAACATGGAAAAATTCTCTGCTTTCCATGAAGCTGGGGAACAAGTGGTAACTGCTATGAAGACATCTCGTTAAGATGAACTTCGAGGAAAAAATGATCAGGAGATTGTTCTAAGTGTTACGAGACTTGAAAGCATAACAGACACACTAAAATAGAGATTTGACAAAAGGAAGGATTATGAAGCATGTGAGAACTTACTTTCCATATAACAACAAACAGTAGTTGGAGAAATATACTGTCAAACAAAATTTGGTAATAAAACTAAAGTGTGAAAGGAACTTTCGATGCTGCATTTTGAAAATATGTCTGAATTCTTAAATATCATTGTCTACAATGAAATTAGCCTCTAATAATTTACTTGCAGTGTATTTCAACATTTTAATTTTATTCCTTTCAGATATTTGAGATCTTTGGTCCTGTTTCACATCCTTTTTATGTGATGAGATTTAACAGCTCTGAGCATATCAAAGAGAGAGGTATTAATGTGCAAGATAGCATGTATTTTGCTCCATCAGTTAAGGACTTCACCCAGTATATATTTGCAGAGAAACTAAAACAGTGAGTCTGATTTATTTTCTAATCTGGTTATAATTGTTTTTTTATATAGCTAAAAATGTTGGATTTAAGTTGAGTCTTCAGTGAGAAATTATAGTACTAAGCTTAACACTAAACTTCATATTTCCTTTAGATAGTCTCAACTATGTTGTAATAATAAGACCCTGTACTATTTTGCCTTGGAGAACAGTAAAAAGTAACTGTAAACTGCGAGCTTTTGAAGTGCCGTAATTACTAAAGTTTAGCTTCTTATTCTGCTTAATATACTAAGCTTGCTTGCTTTTTGTGCTGCTAACTAAAATACCACATCCAAAAAAGTTCATTGATACTCCACGCCCTCTGGCACTCATATACACGAGTATAAAAAAACCAGTTTTTCAAGCTGAACTTTCCAGATTTTGTTGTTCTTTAGATTCTTGTATAGTTTCAGAACTGATAATAAACTTGTTTGCATTCTGAACAAGTTTGTATTAATTTACTATTTTTATTTCATATTACAAGGCTGGAATTGAAATGTAATTATCAATAAATCTATATACACAGTTGTAGGATGACAATTCTAGATAAAAATTACGCTCTAAATTTGCAAGAGGAGAGGGATTTGAGTGACAGTGCTAGTATGATGTTCAGAAACTTCTCAGTAGTGTTTGTGTATCCCAGTCTGAGGAAAGTAGCATGCATAAATAAGTAGTACTTGATGCCATTTAGAGGGAAATCTACTCAAAGACACAGACTAAGAAATAAAACGTAATAAATGACAGCTGGATACTAATGTTCTAATTATTGATGAGCAATCATCTGAAATAACTATAGGTTAGATATCTTTTGTTATACAAGTGACTTAGTTTCTGTTTATTAGGATTAGTTCTCAGGAGTTGCTTAATTGTCTGCATTCATTACAGCTGTGCCACTATTCATACTGAATAGTTCTTTTCTTTAGTCAGAAGTGTAGTTAGACCTGCAGGAGTCCTTTTTTTTTATTATTATTTCTTTTTAACTTCCTCATTTCTGTGCAAGCAACAAGCATATTTTCTTCCCTTCAGTAAGGACCAAAATAGATCACTTGCTTGCTCTGCTGCTTGTTTGTTTTTCTGCAGCATTTTGATGCCAGCTGGTCTTTGATTTACGCTATTAAACTTTGTTGCTTAGCGCAGTAAGTGCACAGACTTTAATCATCTGCTTGTTGCATCAATAGCCGTGTGCTGTACTCAGCATCTGAGATGGGAGACTTGTGTTTTACTTTGTTTCATGCTTTGGAAATAGTTTGGGGAACCATTTTTCATTTGGTAGTACTTCACTATCATAGGTGGTAAAAAACTGAAACCTAGGCAAGATACTTCAGGCTTGCATGGCTTACCAGCACAGCTGAACATGCTTCAGACATTGCTCCTTGTCTCAATTAGTAGTCTCAGTGTGACTTAAGTTATAGCATATTGAAACAATATTTTATTTCTGGGTCTTGTCAGTACAGTTTCCTAAGCTTGTGTGAGGCATTTGGTGCTATCAGTTGAAGCGGCTTTTTCAGTAAATACGTTTTGTTAAAAATGGATTTAGAATTTCTGATTTCTGACTTACGCTGTAATGCTACATGAAGAAACCTTAATGCTATAAGAATGTGAATGGTTAGTAGAAAAGTCAAGCTTTGGTCAGTGATCCACTAGAAGACTTTTGGATGTTAGTAGATGGCAAATTTAATAACCAATAATTTTTATTTTCTGCATTTTTTTTAGTTTGACTGTGTGCAGACCAGATTGTAGAGTATTACAGGGTTAAAGTTTTAAAACTGCTGTTCAAAACTGTGATGGTTCTTTGAAAATGAAAGGAATCAAGATTAAGATCTGGAAGAAACACTGAGTTTAAAGCTTTTTCTGAAATCTGAAATGCAATCTGCTTACATTGTACAAAGTTGCAGTGCTATGAATAAGCCTTACACTTTATAGAAAAATAAGTGAAAGTGTAGTGCAAAACTTTCTGAATGCAAAGTAATTTGTTGCTAAAGATAGGCTTGTGTTGTATTGCCTGAAACCCGGTTCTAAAAAAGCTCATGTATTTTCATGATTCCTCTGAATTACCTTTTGTTAGACTTAAAGATCTTGCAGTATGACTTCACAAATCAAAGAATTACTATATTGTTCTTTGCAGAAGATATTAAATATTTGGGAGCACGAAAAGCAGTTTTTGTTTGCTGAAATGAGGAAGGCTGCTTTGGGAGAGGGAGATAAGCTGCTGACCTTGAAAGATTTAAAGTTTGCAGTCAGTGATGTTACATATTGCTGAATGACCACAGGTCTTAGCGGTTCTTGTGTGCTCTGGTATTTCTGGCAGGCATGTGTTGCTGCAGAATAACAAGATGAAGGGAAGAAACAGTTCAGTTCATAATTATAAAAGAAAGCTTTCTGCAGCTGAGAAATTACTTGTATATAGTCCTTATCGTATGTTGCTCCTTGTAATGTTTTCTTCTAATTAAGCTTTAAAATGTCTTCTTTGCCTTCCTCTTTCCCTCAAAATCTCAAAAGGACACGTAGAAGTTGAACTTCAGTTTTATGGTTAGGGATTGAGGCACTGTGTACCTCCAGGTGACTTACCAGTGCTCTTATGGGTGTGACTAACGACCTCTGAAGTCCAGGTTTTGTAGTTTTTTGTAGTTAGTGCTACTTGATTCTTGCTGCCTTGTTGAATACATGAAAGACCCTTGGTTATTAGAGTACCAACTGAAGGCATTTCACACTGACATACTGATGTTTTTTAACTCTGTGGTTCCATTTTACAAGTAAGAATTTTCAGTATTGCACTGTTTTATACACTTTTTTTACATAGATAAGGCTTGTACCTTGATGTTTCAGACCAAAACACATAAAATTTGAGAGCAGCCTGAAAAAAACCTTCAACAGACTACTGGCAGTGTAATTTAAATCTATTTCACAAATTCTTTGCTAATCAGAGAAATTACTTGATTTTTAGTGAAGGACTTCACAGTGAAGTAAATAAATTAGACTAATCCAAATTTATTTTGGTGCTTGTCAGGCAAGAAAATTGAGGTTTTGCTTCTTTAAATGTCTTTTGCCTAGCAATTTAATTTTATATTTACAACAAAATAAAAGGTGAAACCTAGTCATCTAACACTGTCTCAATAAGATTGTAAGCCAAGCACTGAGATCTTAGGCATCTGAATTTACTTTGCTGTAGTTATACTGAAAGCCTGTGCCCTACTGAATGAGTTCATTGTTCTTTTTAACTGAAGATACATGTCTGAAACCAAAAGAATAAGAATGCTTGTGATTGTAGTCAACAGCATAAGAAAGTTGCAGTGAACTACCTCAGTTCAGGTTCAAATCAATTAAGGATCAAAAGGATTTGTTTTGAGAATATTGTCCAAAACTTAGTATTAAACTAGATTTTTCAAGTGTAGTGAAGCCCTGAATTGATCTTTACGTTACTGTTTGCTTTTGAACAATATTAAAAACCAAGTAACTCTTTGAAAAGAGGAAGCTCCTGTTCTAGGAGACCTGATAACTTATGAAAAGTGATAGCTTTCCTTTATCTGGATTGTCTAATTTGTGTTTTTGTTGTTTGTTTTTTCTTTTAGGGAAAAAGGTTCAGATGCATCTTGGAAGAATGACCAAGAACCACCACCTGAAGTAACTATTGGGTTTTTTTTTGTTTATTGTTTTTGATTACACAAGTCATTTGTGGAAAAAATTCTCTGCAGAGCAACTAATTAGCAAGATATATTTTTATGGAGACAAGAGTAGAATGTACCTTGTCATTGAAGGAAAGGATCATGCTTTTCTTGGAGAGGTCTCGTAGTGAGTGTAGACAGTACTACCTGTCTCTCTGCTTGCTTTTTGCAGTAAACAAGATGTGTATCTTCAGTTCCTCTACTCCTTCAAGAACGTATTTGACAACCTGAGTGTTTAACTTTGGGTTGCAGTGCTTTTACCTTCCCTAATAATTTTGCTTCTGTGAGGGAATTTTTGTCCCTGTCATTCTTTCACTACAGCTTTGTTTTCAGTTGACCTCAAGCAATTGTTTGTTTTTAAAGCCTTACTAGTACTCTGCAAACTTACTACTTGGACATTTAAGCTGTCTGCTCTTCAGAATTACCTTGACATCTCTGTTGCATCCTTTGAATGTCTTAGTAAGCTTTCTTTACAGTTTGCTGTTATAAAACAGTAGTTCCATGAGAGGAGACTGGCTTCTTCCGCAAAAAAAGGCTGACGTGCAGAGTCATATAGACTTAGGAGCTCCCTGTGACCATTGACATCATTTGCTATAGGATCTGTAAATACTTCTTCAGTGACTTTCTCTTAGTGGTCTTTAACTCCACTTCAGCTATGCATTTTGTGAGTATTCAGTAAGAATCACAAGGCTTGTCATTTTATTGAGGTGTTTTCATGAGATTTGTTTTACATCACAACAGTTGAGTCACTTTTCCTTGCCATTCCTACTTTAAACATATCCAAAGTAGCTGAAACTACTACAAGCCTTATGTCTACCATATTATTCTAAAGAGATCTGTGTGCTTGTTTTCAATCTTCCAAATGCTTGCCTTTTTAGCATAATTCTATGCTATGCAATATATGCTTCTCACTCTGTAATTTGGTAGGAAAGGTGTATTTTGTGGGGCTTGGGGGGTTTTTGTTTTTGGGGTGGTGGTGTTTGGTTTTGTTTCTCCAGTGTTCTGACTGATTTTTAGGATGGAATAGACTGTTGCAGTTGGAAGAAACCTACAGCAGTCAGGGCTGGCAAGTTCAGGGCTGACGCTGAAGCATAAGCTGAAGCATGTTGTGAAAAGCATTGTCCAAATGTCTCTGAAATACTGACAGGCTCAGGGTGTCAGCCACCTCTTGAAGATTTCTCTTCCAGTGTTTGACCACCATCTCAGTAAAGAAATTCTTTATTTTCAGTCTGAACCTCCCTGGTACAGTTTTGGACCTTCCTACTCATCCTATTACTGCATACCAGGTAGAAGAGATCATCGCCTCTCCCTCCCCTTTGTCAGGAAACTATAGAGAGCAGTGAGGTTGTCTCAGCCTCCTTTCCACCAGATGAGGCAAGTCCAGAGTCCTTGTGTGCTTTTCACAGGACATGCCTTCCAGTGCTTCACCAGCTTTGTTTCTCTCCTCTGCATGCAGCATAGCCAAGGACTTTGGTGCTCTTGACATGTGGGGCCCAGAGCTGCACAGAGCACTCAGGGTGAGGCCCCGCAAGGCTGAATGCAGCGGGACAGTCACCTCTGTTGGTTGTCTGCTCGTGCTGTGCTTGATGCACCCCAGGATGGGGTTTTGTCCTCTGGGTCCCAGGGCAGCCCCTGCTGACCCACACTGAGCTGCTGCTGACCAGCACCCCTGGATTTGTCTCAGCAGAGCTGCTCTCCAGCCACTCCTCTCTCAGTTTAGACTTGAGCCTGGTGTTACTTCATCCTAGGTGTGCAGCATTTGGACTCAGTAGATTTCATCCCATTAATCATTATTCGGGCTCTCAAACTGTCTAGATCCTTCTGGAAGGCTTCCTGTCCCTCAAGAGAGTCGATGGCAGTTTGGTATCATCAGCAGACTTGCTCTTGGTGCTTTTGCATGCTGCATCCAGATCATTGATAAATACATTGAACAGAACTGTCCCTGGAACTGAGCCCTGAAGAACTACACCCTTCAGGCAGTTCTTCACCCATTGCACCATGAACCTGCCCATCCCGCTGTTGGACAGCTTGTACAGAAGGATGCTATTAGAGACATTGTTAAATTTTGCATTCACAGTCCTTATCCCAGGATGGTTATTCTGGCTTGAAGGAGAGATGCTGTGACATGATCTTTTCTGTGCTCAAAGATAGGTCCTGTAATGGTGTATCAGTCTCTCAAGTTGGAATGTTGCTTTTTCTACCGTAGTGAGTGAGGATGATGCATTTTGAAATACTGATTTTGTTTCCTGTAAATGAAACTGAGCTGTGTGGTGCTAACTTCTCTCAAAGAATTCTTGTCTGTCAGTTCTGGCTGTAAATTGCCTTCCTTTCTTGTAGACATAATCTCACAGAGAATCATAATTTGAGAATTAGAAATGTTGTATAAGAATTGGACTGTAGGTATGTTATCCATAGAGCATTGAAAAACTTAGAGACTTCTGACTAGTCTTAACTTGCTTTAATTGAGCAATTTTCTCGTGATGATGATACCAAATGGGCTTATTGGCTAATTGTGAGCTCTTCTGTTTTTTAGTCATGTTTTAAAAGCTGTTCAGGAGATAAGCTAGATATGTAATTTCAGTTTGTAGGAACCCATGAAATTTTATTGGCCAAGTACAGGCAGTCAAATCTGCAGATACTGATTCATTGCCTTTTCCAAAGATTTTTTACTTAAATATTTTTCTTCATTTAAATTTGCTGTACCTCACTAAAGAAAGGAACAAAGGAAGCTTGAAAAAAGTCAGTGGTGACACGAGTGTGCAGTCTTCTGACTGTGTGATCTGTCTGTGTGCTCTGTTTTGGAAAAAACCACATCTAACATCTTGTAATCCTCAATTAGAATAATCTTTGGTTATTTCTAGCAGTTAGATTTTATACCATACTATCCCAAGCTGTGACAGTTGATGAGCTGATAGAAAGTAGTTTTTGCTGTGAAGGTAATAGCTGTTTACAGGGGTGCAGATTAAATTTTATGCTACTGATGCTTGAAATTGTCTCTTACAGCCAGACGCTTTACAAGACCTCAGATTGCAGCTGATTTCTGGGCAGCCCCTGTAGTAAACTGTGTGCAGTTGTTGGAGTCACTTCTTTTTGATGTGTGAGGCTTCATTTTTGTACTAATTAATCCATGGTAGGCCTTTCTTACTTGCTGCTTTTAGTTATATGGTAAGCATTCCTTTTTTGGCAGGCTCTTAACTAGCCTGGCTTATTTGTAGAGCCACTAATATATCTCTTCTAGCTTTGTTCTTGGGGTCAGAGGATGACAAAGTGTGATCTGTATGCTGCAAGGCTAGCAGCAGCAGATAACTGCAGTTCTTCTGTGGGGTGACTTCTATGGGATGTTACATGGAAATTAGGTAGCGGTAAAAGGTACGTATTGCTGTTCATTATTTCTGCACTAGTGGAGTATGGTGTACTGGAGTTCTTAGAAAAATCAGGAGTTAGTGAAAGATTTTACTTCATGGTAAACATCATCTTGCTGTAGTTCTTACGGCTTTTTTGAGTACATCATCCAGTTATGTAGTAGAAGAAATAGTTGTATTCAGAATTAAGTTTTATGAGGTTTCTTAAGCGCTGTTTTTTGGTGCAGTGTTTTTGAGATCCATTCTTTGTGTATTTGATAGAGAGATAAAAGTAAGCAGCAAAGCTCCTACTTCCAGATTTGGGACGGGAAGGGTGGGAACAAATCCTGCCACTTTGAAGTCATAAGAGTGAGGTGTTTTTCAGGCAACTAATTAACGCTGACAGATTTCTTCCCTGTTCCTGATAACTTATCCTCTCTCATGTAAGTTAGGATTTGGAAGGTAGCAAAACCTTGTGTAGCAAGAAGAAAACGTTGCAGGGACATTGGATCTGTTGTAAATGACAACATTCCTGAAAACTGAAAATGTCTTTGGAATAACACTGCTATTACAAATTCAACAGAAAGTGTTATTAAATATACTACAGAAAATTCCAGTTTAGTGACAATATTGGAGATTTTTTAATGTAGTTTTAATATTGAATTATGTATTGGTTGCCAAGTTAATTTTTATTCATTTTAAAAATTCATTTTTTAATGCATTTAATCTGCAGTTGCTCTTTGAAAGCTTTTTCTTGGCAGTAACCAGCCACCTCCTTTTCTTTTCTTACTAACATCTAGGCAATAAAACATTTGTGGTCGGCACTGGAATGTTGCTCTTTTCAGGAAAATTAGAAAGGATACTGAGTCATGCATCAATTGTGTTATGATAAATTTTTGGAGTGTTAACTTTTTTCTTGTGCTGAAATCCAGCTGATTTTTGTTTAAACCAGGTTTTGGAGTTCAGTGATGATGAGAAAGAAAAGGAGGCAAAACAGAAGAAAAAGAAGCCTCACAGTCAAGGAAGGAAGAAAGTCAGATCAGAAACACTTCCATCAAGTGAGTGAATGCTATGTCAATGCTTTTGTGTGTTAATCTAAGTTTGTAATGCCCTTTTATAATTATCTTAATAATTGAGTTTTCATACAGTTAATAGTAATTCTGTACTTTCCAAATTTGTTTGAATTTGTGGCTACATTCTGTATTTATTATTTTAGAAGAAAAACAAAGTTGTATTCTCTTGAAATGGAAACCCTGTGGAAGTGGCACAGCAGCAGAGCAGTTGTCAGAGGAGAGTCAAAGGCTCTTAGAACAGTGTTGGGTGACACACATTGAGGATTCTGAACAGATGCCACCATTTGGATGGAGTTCAGCTAAAGCCTTTGAGTGCTGGGAGAAGACAGAGGAAGGCCATATGCAATTTTTGGAAACCCACTTCTTTGGCAATCAAGGGAGGAGAGACAGGTCTTAGATGGAGAATTTATTCCTCTGTCTAAAAGGAAGCTTTTCCTCATCCATGACATACAAATACTCTTCTAAATAACTCTAAATGGTGTAGCCTGCTGAGAACCTCTCTGTTTACCTAATGCAGCCATTAGATGAACGAAGCAGTATATAGATTTTCTTAATATGAATAACTTTCTTTACTCTCCTTTCTTCTGCTGTTGTTGTATCTCCTCCAGGTGCATGCTTGCAGCTGTGCTCTCTTTACCATAACCAAATTTTCTCTTCTCTCGTGCCTCTTTACTGACAAATCTTTGATTTTTGATTGTGATTTTGGTTGAATAATTCATACTGCATCCCTCGTTTTCTGTTCTCACTGGTCTGCTTTGGCCGCATGCTTTTTATACCTCTCCCTTTAAATATGACTCATCCCTTACCCTCTTCTGCTGCTTACTTAGCAGATTGCTTCAGCTATCTGCAGCATGGTGCTTCCCCCACCAAATTTCTCAGACTCCCATGAGTTTGCTGCTCTTCCTTTGTAAAGCTGATAGACATTGTGCCCTGCTGAAACCCTTTTCTCTTGATCTGTGGGAGATCAATAGCTGTCCTTTAATATTTCTTGTACAGTACAGTCCTCCCTTAATATCAGTCAAATAAAGCCATGGTCTTTCTTGACTGGCTTTTTCCCTATGGTTTTGACAGGTTTTTTTTCCCTTACGAGATGGCTCTGAATTGTGCTGTACTTTCTCTTCATTAATGATGGTTATTTTCTCCTGGTTTCTGTTAATCTAGCATATGTGTGTTTTCCACCACATCCTTTTCCTGCCAGCTTATTGCAGGCCTGCCTTTGCCTACGGCTTCCTGAAGCTGTTACTGAATTATGTTCCATAACTGAGAACACAACAGGAGAAACTGCTGCACTCTGTCAAGGCAGATAGATTTTGATTTGCTGTGGTTTTTTTTATTGTAAATAACATGGCACAAATTGGTGTGCAGTTTTGGTTGTAGAATTCAACAGCAATGATATGTTACAAATAGAGGCACAAGGTTGTTCTCAGATGAAGGTTTAGACAATTTTAATATGCTCATGTATTGTTACAGTATTTGAAAGAATGAACAAAAATACTCAGTACTTTACTTCAGTGCTTGCAAGAGGCTTGGTTGTACCAAAGGAATCTTAACTCTTAATCCCCCATGAAAATGAGTAGGAATTCTGGCATCCAACTACCTTTCCAGACTTAAAAACGTTTTCAGCTTTGAAAAGCTATGGAGTCTAATGCCAAGGATGAGATTCACACAGGTTTTTAAATTTCAGTGATTTTATGTGTTGTTATATTCCTGAATACCTTGTTGCTCCTGGCCATAAAATCCTTCTGATGGTTTAAGTTCTGCAGCTTTTTGAATCTCTTAACAGCTCTTTGGAGCATCTTCAGCATTTTAGTACTTTTCGTTTTATAGTTCTCATCCCATTAAAACTCCTATGATATTTATATAAAGGGGCAGTATATTTGCTGTGAACATTAAATATGTGCTTAGAGTGAGCTGTACAGGGAAAAATTTGTCTTTGAAAGATGAATGCTGAAAGTGAATTGGCTAGAGGTACAGATTGTCCTTTTTCTGATAGAGTAAGTTAATTTTATTAATTTGAGCTTGAATAATTTCTTGTGTCCTGTGTCTATGCTGTTATACCAGTTTGGAACTGAAGGCTGGATACCCCTTCAGTGTAATGCTGTGTTGATTTATCTTTAGTTTAAAAAAGTGTTGTTTTTAATCTTGTTTCAAAAGCTTCCAAAATACAGATAATACACAAAATTCGTGTGTTCCTGACACATTTAGACAAATGGAAAGTCTGTAGGGAAAGAAGATGAAATTTCTTTTTTAAAGACTAAATTTGCAACTCTCAGGATCATCCTTTTTATATTACTCCAATCAATCAGGATTAGTTACTAAACAGTAGATTTGCTGGTATTATTCTATTCTTCATGTACTACTTGCCAGTATTATTTCTTGATAAGATTAGTTTTCAAATTTCTTTGACTTCACCTTGAAAGATTCGTGAAGACTAAACTTGATCTTTCCAAAATAATATTACAGCTATGTGTATGTGGGGTTTTTTTAGGTGAGAATAAAGAATTTCATCAGTCAGTGCAACAGCCTGCTTCAAGTTACGCAAGAGGATACCATGGCAGAGGGTTCTTCAGGGATCTGTTTCCTCCTCCATCAGGCCCTCGAGGGTTTTTCAGGCCCCAAGTAAGACCACCACAGCTGTACTCTACAGACAGGAGGATATACCAGGAATCACCAGTGTTTCCACCACCTTACAGAAAAGAATATCCAATGACGCAACAGTATGCCTTTCCTCCTCCAGATTTTGGTTATGTCAGTGATGGGTATCAATTCCACCCTCCACCTTCAAACATGAATATGATGTGGACAGGCCCAAACATGTACAATTCATCCTACTCGTTTCTGTCACTGCCGCCACCACCACCGCCGCCGCCGCCACCTCCTCCAGACTGCCACCCTCCTCAGTTCAGGCCTTACTAAAATTCCATATGTGTCCATGTAGAGCCCTGCAGTTTACAGGGAGAAAGAACTGCCTGCCAGGACTGCATTCCTTTATTCTGGAGATGGTTTCTTTTACTGCAGCAGAACAAATGCAGAGTTTTGTGCTTTGTGGGACATCTGCAGAAAATTATTTTTTTCTGTATGTTACCTGTTTCCAAAAAGAAATTTATATGATAAAAGTAACTGAATATTAAGTAATGGTTTATTTTTATAGTATCTGCTACTTAAAGATGATAAATAAAAGCCTTTTGGACACTGGTATGTAGTGGTGGAAATCTATTTTGTAATAAATGTGAGAGTACTGTTAAGTAGCAAAGAGCGTAATTTCACATAGACAATATTTTGATATTTTTAGAGTGGTGGTATATTGCTGTGCTAAAACATTTTTCTCAATTTCTGCAAATTTTGAAACCTACATGGGACCTGAAAATCTGTCCTCTATATTTTGAGCTAGGTTTTCCACTATATATAAGGCATAAACCACTATCCAGCTTTCAATACTTTAGTAATTCCATATTAGCTAAAAGACTAATAATAATAATACTGGTTTTGTGTGCACTTGTCTGATTTCTAGGCTTTGGGCTGTGGTTGGTCAAATGTAAGTATTTTCTAGTAGAGGAAATAAGAGTATTTCCTAGTAGTTGAAAATATCTCTACTTCTGACTCCTGTTGATCTGTTTTCACATTCAGCCTGGAAAGGTGCAGTAAGCTCTGTCACTTCTGTAATATTTTTAGTTATTCCCCCTTTTTGGGGCACTTCTTCATGGACTGCTTGGAAGAGAAAACTTAAGGCGTGGGATGGAGGGGAGAGACTTTTGAGGAAAAGAGGCTTTTAGGGAAAGATTTGCTATGATTTTTCATGGGGCTTAGATTTACAAATAGAAGTGTGAATGTGGTAAACTATGGGACTGTATAAATACTGTGACTGATAATATGGGAAATGAAAAATGTAATTGCACATGTGACAACATTCCTCTTAAATTTATAAACAAAAGCGGTACTTTTGCTGGCCTTTAATTTAGACAAGAGTCAGCAGCAGGAAGGGGTGAACTCATCTTGAAGGTGAACAGCAAAAGGACAAAAAGATTTTTTACAGGAAAATTCTGACAAGTGGTGTGGGAATCAGGGGAGCCCCTGCTGCCTTAGATTGCTTGGAGAGATGGTGGAATCTCCAGTCTTTGAGCGATTCAGAATTTGACTGAACAGTGGCCTGTGGGATGTCATGTCCAAGTTAGCCTTTCTCTGAGTGGAGAGGTGGACCAGCTGGTCTGTGAAATCCATTGAAGCCCAAACCATGCTTTTCATTACTGTCATTGTTCTGGAGTTTTGTCTTCTCACCAGAGGCTTTTTTTGTCTCTAGATGCTAGGAGGCATGAATAGCCTAGCCTGAATTACTGTTTTTTGGGAAGCCTAGCTTTTCATTTATGGTATTGTGATCTTTTATTGTACCTCAGATTTTTCATAAACAAAATAATGATGCTGTTCTAAAAGTTGGACTTGCTGCAGAAGATAATGAGTGCTTCCATTTCACTCGATGTAAGATGAACTGAAGAATTGTTCCTTTATTTGTTGTTTGGAAACTAATGCTAATGAGAGTCTTGGTTGCTGTCATTTTTTCTTTTGGGAGTAAAGCATTTTGTATTGTATAATTTATTTTGAGAATGTTACCAAGAAATAACTACTCAATTTTTTTTTCTAATACAACAGAAAAAAACCCTGAGAATTATTTTTACCCAATGTTCTCTAAAGTAGGGATTTTTTGCCTTAGAAGAGACCTTTTTAATAATGCAAGGCATTCATGTCAGGATGCATATGGGTGACGTGCAGATGAAAATAAGAAATAAGCAGGTTTTTTTGTAGGTTATATTTAGGTGTTTCCAGGTTCCATTTTCTATTTCTTTGCAGCTCAAAGGTATAGACAGTTATTCTTGTCTAGTGAATTTAGTGATGCACATAATCTGATTTAAAGGATTGATGAATCTGCACAAAACAGCTGGTAATAAATTTGTTACGGTGACAGGTGAGAAAAAATGAAAAACACAGCCAGTGATAACAGAGCTTTTACAGAACAGTTTACCTGTCAGGGCAAATACATAATTTTGGAAAGCATGAGTAATGATCTTTATCTCAATCACTGTAAGGCTTACTCAGAGTTACTGAACATGGGGTAGCCTTCAAATGCCATAAATGAAATCTGTTGGAACTACGGAAGAATAATATTGTCAATTTTTCTGTGAATCTGATGCTCTGCATTTTTTAGGCAATGTTTTGCAAAAATGCTTTATTAGAATTCGGTGTTTGGCTGCTGAGCTTTGAAATAGATGGAAATTGTGGATCACAGAGTGGTTTGGATTGGAAGGAGTGTTAATGACCATCTGGGTCCAGCCCATCTGCAGTGGCAGGGACACCTTCCAATAGATGAGAGCCCCATCCAGTCTGATCTTGCTTAGTGCAAAGTGCTTGCTATTTATTAGCAGCAAGCCAGCCAGTGATACAGAGGGACAGGAGTGAGCAACTGTCACATACTGCAGCTTTGAACTTGGGCACAGAATCTTCTGACTTTTCTGTGCCCACCTGAGCAGTTGAGAGTACATGGGCGGAAAATAACTTGTTCCACAAAATGCTGAAGCTACTATAGAAGTAATTATAGTTATGAAGTGTCTAAGTTTGCATATATTAGGTCTCAAAGACTATTGTTTGCATTCTAAGTGGGAAGATTTCACTCTCTGAGTTTGCTGTGGAAAGTAGGAAACAAAAATCTAGGAACTTTTAATCATCAAGAATGAAACTGCTGCTTGATACCAAAATTAGTTGTTATGAAGGTCTGTCGTTTTGGAACAAGTGGTACAATTAATATTTTCTTTAAAGAGAAGAAGAACATTACCTTTATCTGTTTAATACTGTTTTCTCATTTTTTTTTAATACATACATTAGGTGGTCTCAAATCTGTTTTGTGAGAATAGCATGTGAGACCTGTAAAAAAAAAAGTACTTTCTTCACCATAGACCCAAGAAAAGAGAGTATATTTTGTGAGATTCCTTTATGTGAATGTTTAACCTCAGGGAGGCTTTCAATTTGCAATTGAAAATTATTCCTGGACTATAAAGACTTGTTAAATCTGTCTGCTGGATCTTCACACTCTCGATTCCACCTTTCCTGGGCTGTCTTGTGTAACACTACGCCCCTTTATATACAAGCAAACCTAAATGACGTTTTTGTGAGCACTTTTTGCTGAAACCATGGTCTGCATTTATTTTCTTGGTTATACTCTTCACTGGGATGTGTTTAATTCACAGTTTTACATTTATTTATGATATTCTGCAGTCTCCACAGCTTGGCTTTGCCACAGAGTGATGCACTTGACCTTTGGTCTCGGTCAATGCTTTCTGCAGTGAGAAGAACACAAGAATATATTTTTTCCTATGTTTTGACACTGCAACAGTCATTTCTGCCACTGTTATATCCCAAAGAGGTCCAGTACCACGTGCATTGATACTCTGCTTTTGGTGACTGCCTGTTTGGTATTCCCCTTGCAATGTAGCATATTTATAAATACTCTGTTTATGGTGTACCTCATTTTTGCTCTCAGTGCCATTCTGACACTGAAATTGCTTGGACATGAACCATTTCCATCCCTCCAGCATAAGATGATGAAGTGATATCAGAGTTTGAGATGGAAACAGTAATTGTACTCTAGAGAAAAATACAGCCTTGGGTAAGTTATGTAGGTCATGATGCTCCTTTGTCTGGGAACAGAGAATCCTGTTTGCTGTTTCATTTTGTAATTCCAGTGGAAGAAGACTTACTGACCTTAGCAGGAAGAGGGTTATCATACCCTCCAAAACCGAGGTATGTCTGGATGTGGCAATGTAGAGCATTCAGATTATTTATTTGCCACCATGAATCTCAAGAAAATCAACCATTTCTTGCACTGGAGAAAGCAGTGGGGGGAAAACTAGTTAAAAAGCTATAGCATTTATAAAGATACTAATTTCTCAGCAAAGTATTTCTTAGTTTGAAGTCAAGTTTGGTGGAATATGTAGCACACTGTATGATGAGTTTATTATAATTAAGCATAGAGGGATTGTCCTTTTAGAGAAGAGACGATTCTGGTTAGGCACAAGTTAGGTCAGCGTCTCCTGTGCTCTGTAACTGGTTCAGAGATTTCGTTTAAAAAGGGAATTTTGGGCAGAATTAATTCCTCTAGTATGGATGTCTGGATAACATTGAGCTTTGGATCCTGAGAAGAATGCAGTTTGCATTTCAGAGAGGACTCGGTATCAGACATTAGGCTTCTATCAAAGGCTTATGAGTCTAAACCAGTTAAGAAACTTTTAAAGTCCCATTTTTACACTTCTGTGTGATGCAAGGATATCACAGAAATGAGCATAAAATGCTTTTACTTGGTGGGATTTTTTTTCTTATGGTTTTATTTTTTAATCTTTTTTTTTCTTTTGCGCCAAACCCGTGCACAAGTGGCTGCCTTCTTATGGATGATCAATAGCTAATCCAGTTAGGTTGTGATGTTCTTCAGTCTCAGAGGACAGGAGTAAACCATAATGACTGACTCTGAGCTAGCTTATAATGTAATATAAGAGGAGACATAGAAAATCTTTGAAGCTATGTTTTATGTCTTGTTTACATTTTAATTTTAAGTAGTGATCTTGGGAAGCAAATCTTTTAATCAGGGAAGATTGTTTTTACAGTGTTTTAATTATCATCTAATATTTTATTTCCAGGCAGCAGTTGAAGTATAATATATAGTTATAGGTATATATATAAAATATATATATATAAATATATGTAAATATAAAATGTGCATATATATGTAATATAATAATTTATAGTATATGCACTTGATAAATATTGAAGTATCATTAATAATCATATATTGTATTAAGTAAAATATTAATTTAAATTATCTCTTGAGACAGAGGAAACACGTATTTCTTTGGGAGAATCTGTTATTTTCCTTGCTTTACTTGTGATGCTAGGATGGCTGTACCCTGTGTTTTCCCTGTGCAGGTGACAGATGGAGGGATCCACACTCATGTAAAATCACTTTCTGAGGTAATTCATTGTCTGCTCCATGTGATATGTTGTCATTTAAGGAATTTACTGTCATACAGGAGCTCAGCCTGACTGCATTTTAATTTTACTTTTTTTAGTTTTCAGGATATGTTTAATGAGTGGTTAAGTGGATGTAAAAATGCACTGAGAAGGTGGTTGTTACCTCTC